AGGTTTAAATCAATGGTTGATCAGGTATATGTAGAGATGATGTATTTAGAGCTGTCATACTTTTAATAAGGTTTAAAATCAATGGTTGATCAGGTATACGTAGTGATAATGTATCTAGAGCTGTCATACCTTCAATAGCGTTTAGATCGATGGTTGATCAGAGAGATGTAGTGATGATGTCTCTTGAGCTGTCATACCTTCAATAGCGTTTAAATCAATGGTTGATCAGATATATGTAGTGATGATGTCTCTAGAGCTGTCATACTTTTGATAAGGTTTAAATCAATGGTTGATCAGGTATATGTAGTGATGATGTATCTAGAGCTGTCATACTTTTAATAAGGTTTAAAATCAATGGTTGATCAGGTATACGTAGTGATAATGTATCTAGAGCTGTCATACCTTCAATAGCGTTTAGATCGATGGTTGATCAGAGAGATGTAGTGATGATGTCTGTAATACTTTCAGTGTAGATTTCTAATCAGATCTTTACAGTCAACTATTGTTCCATGAAATTTCTATACCTGGTATACAATTAACAATTACTTGTTCTGTAACCCTTCAAGGACAAATGGTGTTTAGTGTAACATTTCATGCATCATTTAACAGTAAACCTTCAGTTAACACAGCTAATTCAACAGTTAATACACGCCAGTATCTTCGTTTAGTAGAAGAACAACGCCGTACGTTATCAGCCAACTGTTTAGTATAAAGACAGCCTGGAATTATCTCATAGCGGTTAGCAGTCAGAAAGGAATGCGATTGGAACGTGTATTACGAACACCTCATTAGCGACGACCGTGGAATATCTAAGATGTATTTTTACAGTTTCTCTAATTATATCTTTCATTAGACACAAAGTTTCTGATCCAGACTTATTGATTCGTGTCAGAATCAGCGAATCACAAGTGTTTCATAAATTTAGTCTTCGTTCGGTAAGTTGGAGAAACTAATTTCATCTAAGAGGCAGTCTCCCTCTCGGCTATTAGCTTAACTCAAAGCCCGCAGATTGGAAATCCATAAGAGGCTCTGTGCAGCAGACCGAGGGCAATGTGATAAGCCCTCATTTTTCCTGTTTACAATTAAGATGGCGCTGACAGAGGTTCATCTGGTTCGATAACTTAATATTCATCGTTTCTCGGAGTATTTTATACAATACGGGGGGGAAAATGAGGAAATGAACATACCTGCATCGTTTCTCGGAGTATTTTATACAATACGGGGAGAATGAGGAAGTGAAATACCTGCATCGTTTCTCGGAGTATTTTATACAATACGGGGGGGAAATGAGGAAGTGAACATTTTTGTCCAGTTGTAAAAGAGAAAAATTACACTTAAAAGTTAGAGAACGTCGTACGTGTATCATGTATCACGTGGTAACACGTACATGAGGCCTAATGGTTGACATATTTAGACTGTGAATCCGAGAATTGATGACTCGCATCCAGTTGCTGCAAAAAACGCGTACCTTACATTTTTTCTTTGGGTGCTTCACAAGAATGACGGTCAAATTACACTATTCGGTTAGACAAGAGTAGACTATAAGTTGGCGGGGACTAACAGTTCAAAATTTAGCGACTGCATGCTCTCTCTGTATCTTCGCGCGAAAATTCTGAAACAAACTAACATGTATATGATATTTTACAATTTGACAGAGCAAAGAACAACCAACACGTTGCTAACGAAGTTTAGGGTGAAATGTCTTTCAAATGATAGTGACTGAAGTACGAAGAATATTTTCTGTTATAATAACAGGTACTTCAAAGTTTGTTAATTTTTCTCGCAAGATACTAACTCGCACTGGTGTGATTTGAGTTAACTCTTAAGTTCATAAACATTATGCTAACGTTGTTAGCGTAATGAAGGTAGGATTGATGAAAATAATCAGTTAATTCTTGTTATCTAATCGAGACTAGTGGTTAGACTATTGGATTGAATATCGGAAGGTCCAAGATTCGATCTCGCGACATTTCATTAAAAGCTCTAGATACTTTTAATTTTAGGCGCGTTATGAAAATCTCAGTCATTCACTTTATTTATTCAAACCCTAGCCATAGAGGCGGCGGGTGCTTCTAACTGGTTATCCTCCCTCTGGTCAGCAGTTCTAAATTAAGGATGGCTATGTCTCAATCTAAGAGATCTTTCTGCTGGCCGTTTAGTCCAAGTGTCGAATGAGATATCGCTTAAGTTCAAAATATCAAGTATACTGTTGCGTCAGCGAGGTCACGTGACTAGTATCACGCCATGTACTTCTGGAACCTTCGTGAATTATCGGGAGACTACTAGATTGGGGGTAGTCTGGTATATATAAGATGGTCACAACGTGACGGGACAATGAGTAATTGAACTGCAGTCAGAGAGTGTGTAATTGAACTGAGTTGAAGTTGAGCACGTGAGACGTTCGTTGTTATAGCGTTTGTTATAGAGCGACTGTTGAAATTAAGTGTATCGTAAAGTTGTATTCGGAAAGAATAAACCAGTTTTATTTAAGAAAGGACTTGTGTCGCTAAAGTTTCGTCGGAACGAAGTTACGGAAAATTAACTAACGAACGGAGACGTAACAATACTTATTATACATTACAAATGAAGAAGGTGGATTTAATAATGATTATAACTATTTAAATAAACAACAAAATATAGTCATTGAAAACGAATGTTTTGTAGTAAAACTAAGGAGGTTAAAAAACATTCGTTATAAAATTGGCTAATTTTCCAAATGATATTCGGAAATGACATCTAATTTGTGATAAATCGCCTATCTTTTACGCGATGTCCGGAAGTGACCTCAATTTAGATAACGAGCTACACATCGTAAGGGTTCGACTCTTGATTTAAAAACAGTTATTGATGTTGATTGTAGATGTAAGTACTCAGGAAATATATATAATTAGAATGTTATTCTTACTTATCCCTAACATTGTTTTATTATTAAATGTGATTAAAAGTAGGATAGGTCGATTAGAAGTAAAAAAGATTAAAAATTAAAGCACCGTATGAAACAAGTCGCTCTAATACATCATGCAATAGAGTTGATTACCAGAAAACTAAAACCAGAAGGAATTTATATAGGTTGTATTAAATAATGGTTGGAAACCTTCGTTGTAAAGTATATTTTCTGTAGAAATGTCAATAATATATCACAAGAACTGGCAAGCTTAGCAGAATTTATATCTAAATCTATAAACGAAATTTTCAAACTCAGTACGTTTAATAGATAGCAATAAATTGATGGGATGTAGGGGATGGAAAAAAAATCAGAAACTAGAGAGCATTTGGGATGGAAGGAAAATCTGCATTACCCGTTCCTCCATTCCCCCACCTAACGTATATATGCATCCACCCTGTGGGTGGTTGAATGATCCCATCAATTTTAGAATAAAACTATTTATTGCTAGTTTCTGCAATTTACTTTTACGATTAGCATCAAAGGTGGCGCCAGCTATTGATTGATATGCGTATTAGGCAATATTAAACAATCTGTATCATTGCATATCGTTTGGGCTGTAACTAATCATTTCGGCTCTAGGTTTGAAAGGCATATCCTAGGAGTATTGAAGTGGTTTGGTATGCAGGCCGGAAGACGGAGAGGAAGAAAGAAGATGAAAAAAAAAATATTTTTTTGCTGCAAATTTTCTAGACGTCAAGGAAGATTAGCGGATCCTTAAAGGCAGTTTTATACTCAATTAGCGAAGGGCTTTCTGTTGTACCTTTGGCTAGGTTTTGTCGATGTCTTAGCGTGCGCGCTACCGTGTTCCGTGAACCGGATTCATCCTTATATAGGGGTCGCTACCGTGCTCCCTGATACTTGAAATACATATCAACCGTACAGTAAGCGAGAAGTTATTTTCTCCCTACGGCTCCTAATATTCTGATCACTTTAGGAACATTTCTCTCTGTGTGTGTGTGTGTGTAATGGCGGAGATTCAATCTCGGGTCTTTTAAACGGAATTCTGGTGCGTTTACCAGTATACCCAATGTAAACGTGGAGTAAACGGCTATGCTTCTTTAGAATAGTCAGTCACTTTGCTATGTAAAGCTAACGCATGCGCAGGTCGGTAAAAAGTAACAATACTTTAATTAGTTCCCATTTCTTCTGTTTACCTGACGTCACGAGAATTCGCCTCTTTTTTTTTTTTTTTTGAGTTGAGATGGGAACGATAGTTTGAAAGCCAACTGTAACACTGTAATATTGATATTCTACGGTCAATCGATACACACTATTAACTTCACGTGTGATTAAATGTTGCTTATGAATTTTAAGAAAGTGTTTCCAACAATAGTACTTTCAATTCGCATTAACGAAGAACATCAGTATTGAACAACGCTTTTATTTTAATTTTCTGAATTTCGTTATGAATTATATTTATTTGATGTTATTTGTAGGCAACGTGAAATAATCATACCCACGTAACTTGAAGATATATCAGAGAAAGACAAAAACTGTTTAGAATAGTGGATTGTTTGTATTCGCAGGTGGAACATGTTGACTGGGAGAACATGTTCAGTTAACTGTTTAGTGGATTGTTTGTTCACTTAATTGTTAGTATAGTGTATTATCTGTATTCGCAGGTGGAACATGCTGACTGGGAGTTAAATCTTCAGTTAACTGTTTAGTGGATTGTTTGTTCACTTAACTGTTAGTATAGTGGACTATCTGTATTCGCAGGCGGAACATGCTGACTGGGAGTTAAATCTTCAGTTAACTGTTTAGTGGATTGTTTGTTCACTTAACTGTTAGTATAGTTGATTGTTTGTGTTCGCAGGTGGAACATGCTGACTGGGAGAACATGTTCAGTTAACTGTTTAGTGGAATGTTTGTTCAAATAACTGTTTAGTATTGCGCAGGTGGAACATGCTGATTGGAGAAGAATGTTTGTTCAGTTATCTGTTTAGTGGTTTGTTTGTTCACTTAACTGTTTAGTGGATTGTTTGTTCATTTAACTGTTTAGTGGATTGTTTGTTCACTAACTTTTAGTATAGTGGATTGTTTGTATTCGCAGGTGGAACATGCTGATTGGAGGAGAATGTTTGTTCAGTTAACTGTTTAGTGGATTGTTTGTTCACTAACTGTAAGTATAGTGGATTGTTTGTATTCGCAGGTGGAACATGCTGATTGGAGGAGAATGTTTGTTCAGTTAATGTTTAGTGGATTGTTTGTTCACTAACTGTTAGTATAGTGGATTGTTTGTATTCGCAGGTGGAACATGCTGATTGGAGGAGAATGTGTATTCAGTTACCATTTGATAAATGTTCTCCTCCACGTGATCGTGACATCATTATTTACCTACATGTGTTTGGACATTCTTCGGTGGTCTCCAGAAGCTACTGTAACCGCTGGCCTTCTGTTTGCTTCCCACCCCGTCCACACTGAAGCGGTAAGTGGTCACTTGGTCAAGTAACCTTAAGACGTTAGTGTCAAATTGTCACCTGGTCAGTTACCGTTAAGACTGATGTGTGAGATAGTTGCCTGGTCAACTCCCGTCCACACTAAAACGGTAAGTAGTCACCTGGTCTGTTTCCATTAAGGCTAATGTGCCAGATTATCACCTGGTCAGTTACCGGACTGAAGTGTCAGATTGTCACCTGGTCAGTTACCGTTAAGACTGATGTGTCAGATAGTTGTCTGGTCAACTCCTGTCCACACTGAAACGGTAAGTAGTCACCTGGTCTGTTTCCATTAAGGCTAAAGTGCCAGATTATCACCTGGTCAGTTACCGTTAAGACTGATGTGTCAGATAGTT